CGCCCAATTCCTGAAATGATTTTGGCAGTAACCATTCCGGAGTCTTTACAACTAAAAGCATAGAAAATTAAAACATGAACATACCCACTTTCAATATATATATATATATATATATATATATATATATATATATATATATATATATATATATATATATATATATATATATATTATTGATGTCCCAAGTGAGGTAAAAGTCTAGAAGGAGGGGTGAATAGACTTTTAAATCTTTTCGTTTTTCAACCATTTTTCCTCTAATAGAATGAGTTCCAATATCTTTTGAGAGATATTGAAACCTACAACGGAAGTCTTGATCTCAATAATGTGACACTTTATAATAACAAAGGTTATGACCCTTTTAGTTGTGTAAGATGGAGTAAACAAGATACAAACTTGTTTGCCAGAATCAGTTGGCTCAAGGAATAGGCTGCTGCAACTTTAAGGAGTAGACTGCCAGATTTCCGGGAGCTGGCTGTTGAGTCCTTTAGGAGCATGCTGCTGAATGAGGCTACTGCTTCAATGATTCAGATGCAGTGGGGAACTGCAATCTAACACATTGATCATGGGCGGAGCTAGGGGTGGGCCAACCTAGGCCCTGGCCCACCCCAAATATTTAAAATGGCTTAATTTTTAAGGTAAAAAATTTCATGTAAATTTTTTCTAAAAAAAATCTTTGTACCGGCCAAGTGCCCTGGCTCCGCCCCTGACATCGATAAACTTTTAGAACAGGCTTAACACATAAGTAGGAAGGATTTAGACCTATTAAAATAGATCACTTTGATGAATAGAAATAAGGAGCTTGATTCATAGTGAACTAGAAATTTCACTAGACAATTTAGTGAGCAAGCTATTTTGCTGGGAAGTTTTGAACGTGGGTGAGAACTGTAGTGTGTATTGGGAGCTGAATATAAAAGGTGACACAAGATATATCCTGGTTCAGATGTGGTGTAATCCTTGACCCAAGCATAGATTGTGAGGTTTTTCACAAGAAATTTGAACATCATTCCAATCTACTCAGTCCTCCAAGGGTTTTCACTAATGGCATTGACTTTCCAGAAGCTACTCATGTCATTGCCCTTCTCTCACCTTCTAGATTTGAACACAAAGCCTTGTAGAATGTCTAATACTAGTGTAGTTTACATGGGTGAAAACTAAACTACCAACTAATCTAAGCTCTATAGATGTGTATGAATTTGAGCTAGTCTAAGAGCTGTAGATGAGTGGGGTAGAAACCAAAATGGTGAAGGGGAATCAACATTGTTTGTTGGATGTGTTCGAGTAATACTTGAATCCCTTCTTTTCCACTTGGCTCACTCTTGTTCTTCCCGCACTCCTTCTGTATTTATAGACTTGTTGTTGAAGCTCTACCGTTGCCGAAAGAGTTCAATCTTGACCGTTGCTTTGATCTAGTTGCTTTGTTACACTTATCTAGTTGCTTTGTTCCACTTGACCGTAGGCAGCATGGTTGGTCTTTGTCTTCTTGTGATGCGGGCCATTTTTTACTCAACTGTTTTCCTCATCTCAAGGCAAAGATAAAGATCGATATATCTTTATTTCTTTAACTCGTAGAAATTCAGTATATAAGCTGAGTCTAGTTCAATGCTTCCTTACAATAAAATCACTTGCTTTTAGTAAAATAAATTTATAAGAATTTTTCATAATGTGGTAGAGCCGTAGAAATTTCTTATAAAATTGTTTTCTATATTTTTTTGTCATTTTGACTGCAAGTTGGTCTTTTGTTTAGTTGTTTTTGTGCTTTGGAGAAGATAGTAGATTTCGGTTGTCTCAATGGGAAAACCAACATTTTAGCCGGCTGAAGAATGTTTTCAATGGGCTGCTGATTTTGGTTTTTCCAGTTGGCTTCCGAATTTACAAAGGGTTTCAGTTGACTCTTTTCGTGCTTTTTCTTTTTTATTCTTTTCTTTGTTTTTGGTACGTTTGTTCTCTTTTGAGTACTTTTTTTGTTTTTCTTTGAGTATTTTCTTTATCAATAAAAAGTAGCACATTACAATTAACATAGTAGAATAAAAACAAAGATCTAGTCTAATACATGGATAATAAAAAGGGGTAACATCATCAGAACTATATAGATATTAATCATCAAAATCTAGGGGATCATGGATTTAACATATATATATACATGACAACATAAATAGTAAAGAAAAAAGACCATAAAGTTGAGTAGTTAGCCTGTGACTGAAACAACACACAACTCAAGTTAGGGAATAGATTAACCTAATAAATGGGTTTGAATAAACGATTATCAAAAAAGTGCAACTAGTCTTAGCTTCGATCTATTACTACCAGGAAAAAACCTTATATGCAAGGATAAGATTGTTAAAGATTGTGAATAACTACTGAAAAAACTTTTAGATATTTACGCAGGGATAATATATTGTTGCTGCTAAAAGGAAAACATAAATGCTGAAATGATAAAACACTTGTCATAAAAAACACTTATATATACCAAACATGCTCCAATTACATACCAGCAACTCTATTGCGAACATATTGAAGTATATGTCCAGTCATGCATACTTCCAACTATTACAATCTTTCTTTATATACTTATACAGAAAACCCAGGCATGTATACTTCCAAATATTACAATCTTTATTCATATATGTACTTATTATAATTGGAAAAGGCCAATAGTTGAAGTATGTGCAGATGCCTAACATAATAATGGTTTAGAATTCAAAAAATAAGAAATCTTGTTCTTATAAAGAGGCAAAGGTAAAGTATGGCAACTGCACAAACAGTATCAAGCATTGGTTGACTTAAAAATCACTTGTGAGCCAGCAGTACGAAGCCAAGCTTGTAACTTCCCTGTCAGTCTACTCTTCCAATCCATTCCTTTTCTTGGGGTGGCACCTAATTGAAATTGCCTTCACTATTACAAAAAGAATCTTACAGAAAATAATCAATAAGTAATGATAAGCAAAAAACGAAAGAAATGAATGACAGAAACCAGGGAGAATCTTGCTAGGAGCAGAGTTTATGAAGATTACATAAGCTTAAGCACCCTAGTAGCAATTAATGAAATGTGAGAATTGAAGACACACTACAATGAAAGTAACAATTAATCCAGAGAAAATCTCCTTAATAGGAGTAAAATATAGCAAATGTTTTAGCAATTTTGTTATTAATCAAAGGGTCCAAGACGAAAATTATTCAGGACACAAGAAATTAAACAAGCTTGGTAAAGTATTGAAACTTACCATTCTCGGTCGAAGACGCTAGAGGTTGGGGACGAAGAGAATATGTTGCCAACCTTTTACAATAAAATAAATGCTACTATTTATACTACTAAGGGGTAGGTGATGTAGATGATGTAGAGGATTGTGGGTGTCTACCTTTCCAACCACCAAATCTACTGCATTAAATGCGCTTTCCGCCAATATTTTTGTTTCTCGCCAAAGGCTCTAGGCGAGCGTCCCCGATCTTGGATCCTGGGTTCCAATGATGCAAGGGTTGGACTCCACTCTCGGCTTATGCGAGTTGTCCGGTTGGAGACCGTGGAATGTTAACTGGCCCTTGTTGGACCAGACGAGCGACGAGCGTCTGACTGACACCTCGACGGACAGTGCCCAAATTGGACCTTGATGGTTTCCTTGCCAAGGGGTGATGAGCCGATCCACTATCGGACCCATTAACCCGACAATATATTACCATTATTTTTGTTAATTGAAAACATTTCAACTATTATTATTACTATTAGTTGTAATAATTAATGTATTATTTAGTGTTTAATGGGTGTGATTATTTAATGTGCGATTAGGCGGGAATACATTAGTGACAAACCTTGTTACTTTATATTATTATTATAGATTATAGATTATAGATTATAGATTATAGATTATAGATTATAGATTATAGATTATAGATTATAGATTATAGATTATAGATTATAGATTATAGATTATAGATTATAGATTATAGATTATAGATATAGTTATAGATATAGTATAGATATAGATTATAGATATAGATATAGATTATAGATTATAGATTATAGATTATAGATTATAGATAGATGTTGATAATCTAATTTTATGATACCTCTATTCTAGTTTAAATTGTCGTTTTTCAAATGTGATTTAGTGTCTTTAAATGGGATTTAGTTTGAATTTATCAATTTAATTAAGACTTAAAAGATATGTTCACCATAAATAAGATGCTCGAAAGATAAAATATGTCTACATAGAATCTGAATGATTGAAAGCTATAAATGTAAGATCTAAATAAATATCACACATTTTTATTTATCTAATTTTTTATTAATTTCATTTTTAGTTTTTGATGATTTTTTCTCCACAAAAAATTATTCGTTTAAAAAGATTAAGCAATATTATTTTTTCTTTGAAAAATAAAAATCTATGAATTTTATATTTTAGATTGATATAAATTGATCTTTCAAATCCTATATCTATCACTTGAAAACACTCGTATCAAATTTTTATGCTAAAAGATGAAAAATCAAACACCCAAAATTGCACCGAATATTTTAGACCCAACTCAGAATGTTTTAATTGAAGTGGCTTTAATATTGACCAGATCAGACTAAACTATATTTATATTGTTAAAATATACTATCCTCCGTTCCATAATTCTTGCAACAGTTTGACTTTCACGTTTGCCAATGCACACCTTTGACTGTAATTATATTTAATTATGTATTAGTAGACATTATAAAAAGTTGATATTTTGGAAATTCATGGTCAAAGTAAGATCTGTGAATAGTGTAAAAATCACAATGTTGCAAGAATTATGGAACGGAAGAAGTACTTGTAAATAAAACATACTCCATACATTTTTTGAATTATAAAATAAAACCTAATCAACAACATTAGAGTCATTCGACTAAATAAAATTTCAATCTAATCAACAACATTTTATGAAAATTTCAATCTAATCAAAACAATCACAATAGAATAGAACCATTTTGCACGGCATACCCACGAGGTCGAAATCTTTTCCCCTCAAAAGTCAAACCCCACTGCTAAACCGATAACTGTAATCAATGACGACGTACCCGTTCCATTCACCACTCCCAACTGCCGTCATTGCTTTCCCATTTATTTCCCGACCTCCTCAAAAACCTCCATTTTTACTTCTCTGAATTGAGTCTCCCACCATAATCCAAGCTCCGTTTTTACTTCCCCTGCTCTCAAGATGCAAGATCCGTCATACCCAAAGCCGCCGTTCGCTCAACCGGCGCCCGCATTCCGGCAGTCCCACCACCGGCGAGCTCACTCCGAAGTCAACTTCCGTCTCCCGGAGGATCTGGGTTCTGACCCGTTTGATGCCGCCAGCTTCGATGATACTGGATCCGAGGACGATCTCTTCTCCACCTACATGGACATCGAGAAGCTCGGCGCCGGATCAGGCGCCGGCGGGGATTCTCCGGCGGCGGGGATCGAGAATGCTGGCGGCGGAGCGGTGGAGGAAAGTGGGAATGGAGGGTTGAAGAACCCGAACCGGCCGAGGCACCGCCATAGCAACTCGGTGGATAGCTCAAGCTTGCTGCTTGGGGAAGGAGGGATAATTGAAGCTAAGAAAGCCATGGCTCCTGAGAAGCTTGCTGAGCTATGGACAATTGATCCCAAAAGAGCCAAAAGGTATTGTGGATCTTATTATACTCTTTGATCTCTTGCTGTTAATATAGTTTTGGTAGTGACATGGATCACTTTTATATTTTGTTTTAGTGATATCATTTAATTATGCTTACTTAATTGCAGTTACGTTAAATCATTCATTATTGAACCAATATAACAATTAACAATACACAGAAATGCTCAGGTCCCTCCGGAGGGACGGGAGCAGCCGTCCGAACTTCACTGTTTGGGGCGGTTCCCGGTGGAATTTTTCGATGAAATTTTTGAGCATGTTCCTCCTCAAGTCTAGTTTGTCCATACCAAATTTCAGCTCAAAATTCGACCGAGAAGACAGTCAAATAAATTCTTGAAGCTTACTGCACATTCTGCGCATATATAAAGTGCAGTATGTTTCAAGAATTTATTTGACTGCCTTTCCGGTCGAATTTTGAGCTGAAATTTGGTATGGACAAACTAGACTTAATGAGGAACATGTTCAAAAAAAATCATCAAAAAATTCCACCGGGAACCGCCCCAAACAGTGAAGTTCGGACGGCTGCTCCCGTCCCTCCGGCTGGACCTGAGCAGTCCTCTAACAATACAATCCAAAATCAAAATTACTTATTTTTCCTAATTGGATCATTCTTAGAATGAAAATTCAAATGCCAATGGTAACACATTCACCGTTTTCAAGTAATTTGTGCATAAGGGAAAAAGTGCGGGTTTTAAGGTAATCATTTATTAAGACTTAAAATAAAAATGTGTGGATAATAAGTTGGTTTTATGATGTAATCATGTAGGTTTTGCATAACTAACTCTATAGATTTTTTTTTTAACTTTTTAATAATTTTGTAGCTTTCAATGACCGGAAAGATTCTAAAAGTAAAATGTTGTAGTTGTTTGATAAAATCTGATTATTTGTTTCAGTTTTATTTGATATAATAAGCTGTTGTGACTAATTAATATTTAAAGCTACAAACTTTCTCTCAGAAACTATTGGGCGTGGCTTTTCAAAGAAGATCTATTTTTAAACTCTTTACATTGTTGTGTCAAACATATAACTAAGAGCTTTTAAAAACTAATTGAGAATTGAGAAGTATGATTTGACGTTGTAAAAAAAACTAGAAGATCGGGATTTAATTAAATGTTATGCCAAACATACACATATATGTATTACGTCATTGTTATACGATAGTATTTGCTAAACGATCACCTATTTTTACAAGTACATTTAATAATTAAAGAGAAAAATCTTTGAATAAGACCTAGCCCGAATCATCATTATTATTGTTTAATCAAGAACTGTTCACTCCTAATAATAAAAGGATAAAATAAGAAATTTCAACTGATTTTTTCTTTTGGTAAAGACTAAATGATTCGAAGTTTAAAAGTAAAACATATGGAGAGTGACTAAATACACTTTTGAACTGTATGTTAGAGAACATATATATCCTTCAACTTTTTTGTGAGAACAATTAATCATATAAATTGTAAAATTGGAGCACATAAACCATTAAACTATTTATTGGTGAACATATATAGAAAATTTTAAGGAATTGACTTCACTATGAAGTCCTATAATATATGTGGTCATATCATAACTATTCATTACGTAGTACTCCCTCCGTCCCCTTAAGTTTGTCCCGTTTTACCTTTTTCGTCCGTCCCACTAAGTTTGTCCCATACCATATTTGGTAACATTTGAGTGGTTAGAATTCATTCTTACTTTATTTACACTTTATCAATTCAATACCAACCACACAATTCCACTTTTTCTTAAAAACCACACCACACCCCTCCGTCCCAAACTTAGGGGGACGGAGGGAGTATATAATAGGGTTCTCCCCTATAAAAATTAGTGGGCATTAATAGGTGTGGTTTCCTTAACAAGATGCATTAATACATTCAAATAGCTGTCTTAGAGGTCAAATTCCTATGCAAGTATTTATTGGTTTGATCTGTTCACTTGACTTCTCTAGTAGGTAATTTTACTTTTTCAATGCAATTCTTGAGGTTTGATGAGGTGATATATCTGTTATCTAGTTGGCATTATACAAAATTTAAGACCAAAGTACAGGTCAACCTTGAGTTGTGCAATTCTCTGATTGTAATGAGAATAATTTATTGAACAGAATTCTGGCTAATCGGCAATCGGCTGCTAGATCAAAGGAGCGGAAGGCGCGTTATATATCTGAACTGGAGAGGAAAGTTCACACCCTTCAAACTGAAGCAACCACTCTTTCTGCTACACTCACTCTATTCCAGGTTTGTTCAAGTGTGTGTGGGTATCTTTCTCAAGATCATGAAGAAATGCTCTGACTTAGTATGCCTGGCACTAAGGTGCACTTACTGCACTTGTTTTTGAACACATAAATATGTGATTGGTTCAAATGATATTAAAAGGGTCAGAAATGTATAATCCTAAACTTATACATGAACAAATGTCCACCTAGATCTCATTTTGAATTAACAGAATTGACCTTAAATAGTTCATGAAGTTTGTCATATTTTCAAATGCTCTATTTGTGCCAAATTGTGCTAAGTCTGGGGTTTCAAGAATTCCGACAACAAAACAGATGCAAAACTCTCCATAACTTTGGGGGGAAACTCCATAGAAAAGTTAACTTTGTCCGTCCCAAAATAAATATGTATAAACTATTAACGCTTCCTTTTATGCGCAGAGGGATACCACATGTCTGAGTAACGAGAATGCTGAGCTTAAGCTCCGTTTGCAAGCGATGGAACAACAGGCTCACCTACGTGAAGGTGCCCATTTTCAACAGCTAATGTTTTTCATTTCACTTTCTTGCTTTTGTCCCTTAGTCCTCAAAAAAAGCTTCAGCCACTGATTGCTTGCCAAGTGTGTGCTTTGTGGTGTCATTTTGGCATGATGTGGGTGTGGGTTGTTTCTGTGACCCCTCATTTACCCGAATAGGAAGCAATCAGTAGTTAAGTCACCCATTAGTTAGTGTTAAGTCAACCTATATTGAGCAAATACAAAAAAGAAACTGTCATATACTATGGTGTTGGGCTAATTCTTTTATCATTTCTGGTGTTTAAGGATAGAACTAGAAGTCTACTTTTCTATCGTACAATGTTTGAGTATTGTTAAGTATTCCTCATCGGATGTTTACTAGATCAGTGGCTAACATTTAGTTATCTGAGACTTGTTTGGTTGTAGTTTTTTTGTTTACTTAGACACTCCCATCATTCATGGTAGCCCATTTAATTAGGTACCTTTAAGTTATCTAACTGATTTAGACTGAGGAGATGTGAATGTTTATCACATATGTGGCTTATAAGTATGAGCTAATCCTAGATCTTTTTGGACCACTTAGACCAAATTTAATAAACATACAGTTTGATCCAATAGGCCTCTCCTCAAAATGAACACACACATATAACTAGATTCATTTTATCGAATAAACGATCTCTGTTTTGGTTGATCTTGTAGAACACTGAATATATCATCATCATCATCATCATTACCCCAGTGCCGCTAAGGCTCCCACCTACGGTGGGGTAAGGGGGGTCGGATGTACGCAGTCTTACCCCTGAATGTAACCCGAAAATACTATAAATTTGAACTTGAATGCAGCCGAGTTCAAACACATATTGTTAAGATTCATGGTTCTATCCTAAAAGATAGTAGCCCGAGATCTTATATAAGACTATAATTCAAAATTTTCTGGTATGGGAAATACTTCAAACGCATTTTGATTTGAACTGGTTATTGATCATTGCTAATTTGCTCTCTACATACATTTACCCAAATACAGCAATAAACAAAGCATTGAAGAATGAAGTTGAAAGACTGAGAGTAGCAACTGGGGAAACAAAAAACCCTTCTGAGGTCTACAATATGGGAATGCAACGAATTCCTTATGATAGTCAACAAATCTTGTTTTCACAATCAGGCCCGACAAACGATTCTCAGAGTATGCAGGTTCCACAATATCATCATCCCCTCCAATGGCAGAAGGATCCTCCTATTGGTCACTTCCAAGGTCTAGATATCAATGGCAGGGGCTCCCATGTCATTAAGACCGAAACCCCATCAATATCTGCCAGTGAAAGCAACAACAGTACAACGACATTCTAATCCCTATATACTTATTTATTTATTGCATTGTTTATAGACCTGACCCCCACCATGTTTAACGTGGCATAGAAAACCATCTCACCATTCTTCAAGAGCGAGGATGACCGTCCGCTGCAAATATTTGTGGTTAACAAATGGATACTGCAGTGGACAGTATCCTTGACTGTTCTTCAATTCGTTCAATCTTTCTTTCTTTTACCTTCTCGCCCATGTCCATGGGCGCTCACTTGTTCTCTTTTTGTTCTTTTGGTTCTTGTTTTTTTGGGGCTCAACTTGGGGAAGCATTTCTTCTTTGTTGTTGTAATATTCATGTATTAATAACATTTCAACTCATTGTTGAACTGCTGTTTCAAGTCACTGGAGGCGTGAGACTTGTGTTGATTGGTTCTACACTTGTACTCATGCTTTTATAGGTATTAGTGGACTAAGGGATAAGTACTACATTCTCTCTTCAGGACTTTTATATACAATTTGTCACTGTACTAAGATGTCGGTTCTATTTTAAAAGGACCAATTGAGAATAATAAAGTATGGAGTATGTGGTATTTTTCATATCACATTTAGATTTAAGTATCCATCTGTCTAGCTACAAGTTCTTTACTCATCATAGCCTTCATGGATGCATACTCAAAGTGGTATTAAATTTAAGACCGAGGCAATATATGGACTGCACCACCTAATTTTACTATTTTGTTCGAGAATTTAGGAGGTGGGGGATGTAAGTAAGGGTGATATTTAAAGAAAAAAAATAAGTTCTGTATTTAGCAGATTGAAAATCAAGTGAAAAGAAATAGTGCGACATACTCCCTCCATCTCATAAAACTGGACCAATCTAGAAAGTAAGAATTGGGTGATTGATACTAGTATTTCTGTAAAGAAGAGATAAATATGTTTAATCACATACGGAGTATTATAACTCCGTATTTTAAATGAAATAGACAAAGTTTTTGGGATAGATTAAATGAGGAATGAGGTATTGTACGCTTTTTGATAAATGATAATTTAGGAAATATTTTGTCTAAAACTGTAAACCTTTTTTAAGTGTAATGTAACTGTCTGACTGATATTAAATTCACGCTGGAAGTCTACATGGGATTACATAAGAAACTCATGTATTTGATCACATTATGGTAAAACAATTTAAAAATTCACACAGCTTTAGGCATAGCTAGAAGTGAAGATTATTATCAGAAATATGAGCTAAAGTCTGAATGATTGAGTAATTTACAATGATATGGTTTGCTATTTAATTTGACTATTGTCCGAGTATCATTCATTTATACAAATTATTGTTAAGAGCACGTTTGGTAAGTTTAAAAGTTCTCAAATTATTTGAATTATGATTGAATTGATCAAATCTCATTAACTATATATGACAAAACTATTATATTTCATATATCCAAAACTAAGATATATTTGAACAATTGGGATGAGTTTTCAGAAAAATAAGGGAGATATATATTTAGGGACGGAGCCAGCGATTCATTTGAGTGGTGTCAACTTCTTAAACTAAATCTATTGTGACATGATATAAAAAAAATGATAGTACGTTATTACATTTTCTACGATTTTTGAGTCAATAATCAAGTTTTAAAATAGGGTAAATAACTTTACATGATATTCTTGCGTCCCGCTAAGATTGCTTCATCTTTCTTTTTTCGACCTGTGCCACTAAAATTTGCTCTTACCACATTATGCAAAGTTTATTTCATTGTAAACCATTTTTACTTTATTCTTATCTTATCACCTTATCAATTCAATATCAACCATACAAATCACTAATAGTATCACATTATCATGTCCCATTGTTAGCGTCAATTATCATCAGTAGTATAGTACCAAGTATCAACCACAATGATAGTATCAATTTTCACCAATAATACATATCAGTTAAATAGTTACAGAGTATTTAATATCCCAATAACTCCAATATTCAATAAAAATGATACGAAGTCCCTTTCTGTTTCAAATTCGATGTGATTCTGATCATCAAATAAAGCTTATTTGATAGTCAAATGTGATGTTTGTATAGGTACAATTGTTCAATGACCCGGTTTAATGTAAAAATCGCTATACATTATATATATACACTACGTATATATTTGACTTTCAAACATATTTCAAAAACATTTCTGAAATAAACTAATATACAAAAATTATTAAAAATCATTATAGTTGTGTCATGGTCACTACACATAAGACATTACTTTTTATAAATAATCTTGATTTTAATCATAAATATGTAATTATTATATATATATATATATATATATATATATATAGGAAATCTTTCCGGTAAGGTATACCTTACCGGAGCCGCTGTGCGGCCTCCACGTTTTGAGGGCCTTCCCGGTGGATTTTTTGAATGGAATTTTTTGATCATGTTCGTCATCAAGTCTATTACATCCATACCAAATTTCAGCAAAAAATTCAACCGGGAAGGCAGCCAAACGATTTTTGGAAGATAACTGCGTTTTATATGTATATAAAAAGTGCAGTTATCTTCCAAAAATCATTTGACTGCCTTCCCGATTGAATTTTTTGTTGAAATTTGGTATGGATGTACTAGACTTGATGAAGAACATGTTCAAAAAATTTCATCGAAAAATTTCACCGTGAAGGCCCTCAAAACGTGGAGGCCGCACAGAGGCTCCGGTAAGGTATACCTTACCGGAAGAGTTCCCTATATATATATATATATATATATATATATATATATATATACTTTGACCCTCATTCCATTTATAGAGGTGTTGTTAAATTAATTTTTAGAAAATATACTTTCATATATAACTACAAAAAAATTGAGTGGTGTCAATTGCCCATCATTTCATTTATACAAGTGGTGTCAAATTAATTTTTAGAAAATTTATATATCTATTTACATAACTACAAAAATTATTTGAGTGGTGTCAATTGACACCACATCCTTATATGTGGCTTCGTCCCTGTTTATATTATTTGATGATCATTTTAAGCTTCTGAAATGGTGAAAATGTAACATGAATGCATAAAAAGTAAAGGTATCTAACTTTTAATCTATCACGTGCACAATATATAAGTTGAGAGAGAAAGATGTGAAGTCGGAAACCCTAGCTAGACCAGTGCAGCAGATCAACCTAGCCTTCCCTTCCCTCGCTTTCTCAACATCGCAGAGGTCGGCTTGGTTCGGGTGGAAGGTCTGCGGTAGCATCTTCAACCTCATCTCGCCTTGTTTCGACTGTTTCGAAGGTGTTCGATGGCTGCCTTCTGAGTAATATACGAGGATTCCGGTTTTAGGTGTGTTTATTTTCAATCTTTCCCCCAATATATCCGGCTTTCTTGTTCCAATCGATTGTAGGGTGTTTTCTGTCCCTTTTAGTTTTGGCGGTGTGGTGAGTTTGGCGACTGCTCGAATGGGATGTGTGAGCCGGAACTACCCGGGTTAGGGAATCTAGCCACGGTCCAAGTGCGGGAGGTCAGAATGGAGGTACCAGACCAAAAAACGGCTTTGTGGCGGTGCTAAATATACTGGATCAACATTGCCTGAAATTCTATTAGAGCTTGTGAGCAGAATGCTTCCTTGGAGGTGGCTGGGCAAACCTCTTCTCCCTTCCCGATTGTAAGGGCGATTTCCAGCTCAGGTCTCCGGTTTACATCCACAAAGGATGTCAATTTCACCACTAGAATCACTAAGGGGAGGTTGTGGGCAACTACCAACAAGGTTTTCCGGCCAATTCAGTCTGTCTCCGGCGGACTTAGTTAAGGTGCGATTTAGGAAGGAAGAAGAGGGTTTCAGCCAGTCCAACCCGTTAGCAGAGAAGAGAACAATATAAATAGGTGTAACAATAATCCACAGAAGGTAACTTACCTTCAATAGATCGATATTCAAATTGCACGAAGACGGGAGAAGGAAAGATTATCGCAGCAAGGAAGGGAAGTAATCGTACGCACAAAGAGGCGGTGCGGATAAAGGGGAATAAAGAGGGGCCGGGTGCAACCTTAATCTTGGGCTTATGGAAACCGGGTCAATACCAACACACCGATTGCTGGTAAAATCAGAATGGCGTTTTTGGAGGTGACTGATCAAACTTCTTCTCCTTTGCTGGTGGCTGGAAAAAGTAGGAGCTTTGATTCTATTTTTTATTTTCATTTTAATAACTCTAGTTTTATGTCCAATTATAATATTATTTTAGTAGCAAGTACATCGATGTTGTTAGATTAGCGACCCTCAGGAGCTGGTCAGTTTTATGTCTCATCTCATAGTAGCTCTGAGCTATTGATTTGCTTTGTCTCTTGTGACTTATTCCTTTATTATTAATAAATAAGTGTTCTTTCGTTCGTAAAAAAGTAAATGGTGGAGTAATAGATTAATAGGGGGGTGTTTGGAACCGATTCTGCTTCTGCTTCTTTTTTAAAAGTAAAAGCAGAATCAGAATCAGTTTTCAGAAGTTGTTACCTCCCAGCAAAAAACTGATTCTGAGAGTAAATTAGAGCTCCAAAAGTGCTTCTAGAATTTCACCCAAACACTCCAGCTTCTGCTTCTGCTCCCTGAAAGAGCAGAATCAGTTTTGAGAATCAGATCGAAACACCCCTGGATCAAGTGAAAAATACAAAGTTTATATCGAATAGAATTCAAGTTAAAATGCAATAAAATAGAGAAAATGTATATTATGTGATGAATTAGAAAAGAGAAAATTCTCTAAATAGAACTTAGACAAGGATCAAGTTCATTAATAGGACTACTATTGTTTTTATTCCAAAATATGACTCATTCACTTCTAGAAATTTTGATCTTCGACCTCAGCTTTTACTATTTTAATCCTCAACCTTAGCTTTTACCGAGTACTATTTTAACTAACACACAAAAATTGCTCAAAAAATAGGATTGCAATAATATGAAGTTTTAAAAATAAAAGTATGACGTAGTACTCAAGGATTGAGGTGAATACGTTATGTCATATTTATGTATAATAATGTCAAAATACGATCGAAATTCAGGATTGCAGTAGATTACTCTTACTAAGATTATTGCTTATATATTAAAATATCACAAAACTCGCTCATATTTTAATAAATTTAATATTTCCAACTATGCAAGCGAGATAAAAAATTAAAATCGAATTAAAAAATCTAACAAATACAACTAAATCTCGTGTGGACAGAAATACACTAAAACTCAAGCTATTTGTCTAAAATACCCATGTATGTTTGAACAAGTAAAATAGTCCTTTGCATCTCGTCTCCAACAAGACAGAAACTTTGAAAATTGAAACTACATGAACCCTAAGTTCCGTAATCTTCTTCAGCCGCTGTCGTGCATCTCGACTAACGCCACCACCATTCCATCATATGCTACTGCCACTGCCGCCTTCACCGCAGGCGCTTCCTCCCTATTCTTTCTCTTCTCCTCTCTCCCACTGTTATGAATACATTGTATTTTCCTTTTATTGGGCTGTTTGGTGTGTGTTGGTGGGCTGCATGGGCTAGGCTGTTTGGAAGTGGGCTGGTGTTATGTTACTAGTGTCTAGTAGCTTCGGTTAGCTACCTTAGCGATCCAGGGGTATATTAGCCTGTTTCTAGCTCATATGTAC